ACATATTTAATATGCTGCTAGAGACCTCTCCAATTTTCTTTTTTCTGAAAATGTTTGTCCCTCCAAACATAAACACAACTCTCTTCCTGTGCCTGTTGAATTTCAACACAGGCAAACCTAACTAGGAACTGATTCTGTGATCACATGACACACCACCAAACAGAGCCGAGCTGCTTGAGCATCTGTAAGTTCAAGTGAAGTTACATCAACCAGTAGCAATGTCTCCACCTGGCAAAAACTAAAAAAACAAACCAAACAAACAAACAAAAAAAGCCATTAAACTGTCAAAGAGATTCTCTTGTTCTTCCTTAAAATGTTGATTATTTCAGCCTCCACCTGATACGCATCACTTCAGCAGCTGTCCCTCCACGAGCTGACTGATTGGCTGCCTTCAGTGGAGGCTCAAGTCCCACTCCGATCATTTTTTTTTCTACTGTGTTATCAGTTTTCTTTAAGTTGTGATTACGAAGTTTTGAGCCAAAATCATGTCACCTATGTCATTTTCAAGGGCTTTTCTTCTACAACAGATGGTACTGCTTATCTGTAAAGTGAGTATACTCAATGAGGAAGGCCAACTGACACTTGCTGCTACAGTGCCAGAAGGTGGACATATTGAGAGGAACAGTTTGAACTTTTGAGTTACATCACTCAGCAGCAACATGATGGACTGACAGAGACTAGAGCATGCCAGAACACATGAAAAGTGTCATAAAGATTTAGCATGTTCCACAAACGTAGCTTACTCTTCCTCAGTTGAAACCTTAGGAATGTTCAATGAGAACAAATTTCCCCCTGAAAAAGTGGTCATGTTATCATAAGTTGTCTTATTTTTGGAGTTTGGTAAATGTCAATTTTTGTTACAACAGATGGCACCGCTTGCTGTCACTTGCTGCCACAGTGCCAGAGAGATGAAAAATTGAGTTGCATGGTGAATAAAGTTTCACAAAAGTTGGACAAATGAACCAAAAACTGAAGCACAGATCTGATTTTTTTTTTTTAAAGAAAACATTTAAAAATGCAGCAGACATTAACTAGCAGTAAAACAGGAAAAAAAAAAAAAAAAAAAAACATGGAGTCACAAAGCTCAAAAACCAAAGATGGCCAGAATGTAACAAATGTTTAATATTATTTCAAATTAGAATGATTTTACTGATAAAACAAGATTTTTGCACATGAAGGTCAATGTGCAGGAAAAACATACAAACAAAAAATCTTTGTTAGTTATGACAAATGTTTGTAATTGTTAGTCTTGTACATATCTGTGTGACAGGGCATGGGGCGTCTGATAAAGGATGTGTCAAATCTATTTATTTTTTTCAGTTTAATCTTTAATTTTCAGTTTAATCTGTAATGTATCCTCAGTCATGAGTAAGGATTTACCCTCTGATCAATTATCAACCGACATTGAACCAACTCAAATCAAACCTAATCAATGGAGTTGTACAAAATCAGATCAAATTGTATCTGTCTTTCTTCTCATGAGTCTTTCTAGGAAACAAACTGGATCATCTTGTTAGGGAGAGAGTCACACCCCCAATAATTGGAAAATAAAGAAATAAGTTTGTGCAAATTTGCAACATTAACTTGTTAGATCTGTGTGATACTGATTCCTGATACATGCAGCAGTTTATCAGTGTTTTTAGACTACAAAGGGGGCCAACATTTGTGTTTTTTTTCTTGATTCTACAAAGACTGCTGTTTTCCAGGAACAGGAATGAATAAATCCTGCGTGTGGGCGTCGGTTTGGACAGTTTCATGTTTATTGTTCATTGTTTATTTCACACAACAATATTTGTGCTGTGCAGAAAGCGTGGGCTCCTTATTGTCGTATATTTTCCTGAAACCACAGCAGGTGTGGGCATCCATACTCCTCCCTGGTTATGCGTGCGAGTGCGTGTGTGCGTGTGACTTGGATTCATTGATTTTGTGAGTGATTTTAATAGAGAGCTGGTTTACATTCCAGCAGGCCTTCTTTTCCCTGTCGGTAAATCTTCCACGCTCCTCCTACAGTCTTCCTGAGCTGCTGCACCGATGTCAGAGCCTTTGCTGGCTGTTCTCTCCCCATGATCACCTTACTTTTTATTCCCCCTGCTCTCTTTATCTGTACCACAGTAGTCCTGATACTGTGAAGTAACCAAGCATGCAAAGCCCTAACTTCCCAGCACAGTCGCACACACTTTTACACACACACACGAACGCAGAGCCTATCCCAGCTTGAGCCCAGCGGCATATCAGCAGCTGAAGTAGATCCGTTGACCCCCTGCTTGTACTCTGTGTGACTGCTAAGGCCCAGGATAAGAGATCCTTAAGCCTTCCTGCCTATTACCACTGTGCTTCCTCCCCAAGCCTCCATTCTGAGCTAGCATATCCCCTGTGACAAGTTTCAGGGTTTCCAAAGTATTACTATCACCCCTTGTTGGGTTTTTCATCCTTGGAAAGAATACGCCAAGTGTTTGGAGGATTTTCTTGTTGCTCGACTTAGCTGAAAAGTGATGATGGCACAGACGGCTGGACGGTCTCTTTGTTCTGGGAGAGTCTGGCATCATAAGTGAAAGTGACACTTTGTGTACAAGAACATAGACAATCAGTCAAGAGGAACTGAACACAACTTAGACCCTCTGTACCAATCAAACCGAGACTCAAATTTGCTTCACTTACATGTGCCAACAAGTTTTAACCCCATGATTTCAAATTTGCTAGTTAAGGTCAATCAAACATTGTGTCTATGAGGCCTTTAAGTTTGAAATTTGTCTGTTAAATTGGCATAATTATGATATTTCTGTGAATACATGTGAATAAACTCTTGTTAAGAATTTTTTTTTGAGATTTGGTGATGCCAGAAAACCAACATGTTAAAATTTACCACTTCATTTTTCATCTTGATGCGGATAAAATGTAAGTAAAATCCAGTGAAGCAATATCCAGAGTTTGAAAGATGATTCCACTGCAGCCAGTAATGCAAACAACTCCAGCTCCTTACAGGTTCACTTTAAGGACTGATTCCAAGTCATGGAAACACACCAGCGCCAACATCAAAAATCCCAACCTGTGGAGCACAATCGTTCATGTTTACAGCCTGGTATAAAAACGTGTTCTAGTCAGAACAGTTCACTCCCTCGCTTGTTCACATTGTATGCTTTCTTATAACTCAATCGTTTTGAATATATTGAGATTAAAGAGTTATACATAAATTAGCATAATCAGGGGCTGAGTTGACTCACAAGTGTGATATAGCTCTTTGCCCAAAGACTAAAGGCCCACCTGTCTGTTCCTGAATCGATCCAAAGCTCAGTAGAGTCTCCTTTTGAATATAGAAACTACAGAATCTATTCGGAAACTGCAACTATGTCCTTTTTTTTTTTACAGTCTATGTTTGTGAAGAATCCTCTGTTCACTGGATTGACGTCTTTTTCGTTATCGCCAAAATACTCATGCAACGTTTCTCTTTGTACTTGGCTGGAACACTGCAATAAGGCTCACTCTTTCTGCCATTATTTGACATCCCTACTTACTGATTATCCTCTAGTTGAGGCCTTCAGTCAAAAACAAAACACCACAAACACTGAACACAATATGCACTAAAAGATTAGCCTTTATGCAGATGATATTCTTTGTTACCTAAGAAACACTTCATCATTAGCACAACCAGAAACCACATGACCCAAGACAAATAAAAAGTTTTTTTGGGGGGGTCGACAGTGACACTTTTTTCACATTTAATCCTGAAAGTTAGGATGTCATAGCCAAAACTTTGCTGTGCCCCCATGTGTATCAATAACCCATTTAAAGGAATCAGTCTTCTCCTCAGGCTGTCAGTGTCTGAAACTAACCCTTCCTTAAAACAAGAAGATTATAGTATAACTACAGATTTACCCAAGTTGAGATGAAGTAAGCATGTCAACATCTACAATAGGAACCATACAGTAAACTTGCAAATGGAATATACATTTGGTTTCTGACCCATGCACGGCCCCTGCCTCCACCATCCTTCTGCAATACAAACTTCCAGCACAGCACAGTGTTTATAAGCCTTGGGATGCTGACAAAGCTCCCTCATTTGACAAGCTGGAAGTGAGAACTGGAAATTTAACAACTTTTTTCTTAAGAAGAAAGTGAAACATTTTTGAAGCCAATCATTCAACCCACCAAAGCCGTGATTGCAAACACAGAACAGTGAGTGGGAGCTTGTTGAAAACACACCAGAGAGCAACAGGATTGGAGTCCAGAGTTTTCTGGAAGTTTGATTTGAACATTTTCACTGGAAGAGAAAATCTTCACGTGCTGCCAATTAGATTCACAAGTTGATCTGCCTTATTAGTGATTTACATTCAGTAACAGGTTTTCACAAGCAAACAACTGCTGAGACTCTCGTCACACAAAATCCTTTTCTTTCACTGTCGGTAGTGTGCCGCTCACTGTGCAGGACGCACACAGGAACTCTTTTCTAAGGTATTCTGGTCATATCTCAGGATTTGTACCATGCTGTATATGTCTATATCACAGTATATGGAGCACTAGTAAATAAGTGGACAAATTTACATGAATGTTTAGAGACTCTTCTTCAAGTTGAATCAATCTATTAAAAAAAAAATCAATGCAATTGTATTTTTTCCAATAAATCTGCGATGAGTTAATAAATATCTGTCGAATTTTTTTATCATTGAAATGCAGGTTCATCTTTTTTTTTTTGTACCTTTAATCAGTTTTCCGTCACTTTCTAAAGGTTTCACTTGTTTTGGTTACTAAGATCAATTCAGTTTGTTTGAAAAGCGTGCGCGTGTGTGTGGTTCAGCATTAGCTGCGTTAATAAGGTTAAACAATCCCCTCAAACATCAAGAATCTGCTCAGCTGCTCAAACAGTCTGCTTATTTGAATTATATATGGTGAATAGAAAAATAGGAAAAGATGAGCCCAACAGTAGGAACTGCCAGAAGCAAAAATATCTGCATTCATAGACAAAACTGAAACAACATTTATCCAGGGAAACTTTGAGGACCAAAAGTATAGTAACTAATTTCAGCCACAAAAAACTGCAGAAGAAGAAGAGAAACTTTTAGTTTGTGATGATTTTGGTTCTCCCTGTGGCCAAAATCATACAGTTTATGTAACAGTACAGTGTTTTGGGACATAAACTCCATGATTTGAGCTTGCTCTAAGGCTGAGGTAGGGGGATAATTTTTAATGCAGGCAATAAAATTACAGCAACAGTATTATCAGCCTTGATTGTTAGTTTCAGCCTGTTTTTCAGCCAGTTTAAAACTCCTAAAAGTGCCTTTCATGAAGAGGTATCACACGAGTGGTTCAGTGCCTTGCTCAAAGGCACCAGGAAGTTAACTAGCAAACCACCTCTCCAGATGCCAGTCTGATCACTATTATTTTATTGGTCCATAACAGGACTTGGACAGTTCCCAGGCCCAGTCCCCCTTACACTGAGCACATGCTGTGTCTTTCCAACCTGAGAAATAACGACCTAAAAATGTTTTTCTGTCTCAAAAGCATCTGAAAAAGCATGATCGTTTACTATTCCATGTTCACTAATTTAATGTCCGCACGTTTTGAATGGACCATGATACTGACCACTCAAGGCCACAGTGCTAATGTAATGCAAAATGGAGAGACATGGTGAAAATAATAATAATCATCATCATCATCATCATCATTACTTATTTTATAGCACTTTTAAAAACAGAAGTTTAAAAACTGCGTTAACAAATAGTCATAAAGCACTTAAATGCTCCAAGGTAGAATTTCCCAAACTCCAATGCACTGCAGGACATTTTACTTTTCATGGTTTTAAAATACTGACATACTTTATCCATGATCATGTTCACTGGTTCCATTGAGCTCAAAAACAGAGAATATATCTTAAATAGGAGTTAACATGTGTACACTGCATGCATCAAAAACCCACATTTCTACTTCTGCTTCTCTACAAAAAACTGTCTTATTGACTTAAAGTTCAAAATACTCTGAGTTTTATCAGTCTTCATTGTGTTTTGATTTAAAATGGACTAAGATTTGACTGAAACAGACATCAAATAAATCAAAAGAGGTTCATACATAAATAATGAGGATGCATTTCGCTTATTTTCCTGTAAATCTGCAGCTATAGCTCTGCACGGTTTCACTTTACACTAATGTTTGGAGAGGGAGAGAGTGTGTGAGTGTCAGACAGATAGAGATGTATGTTGGACTGTTTTTTTTTTCCCTTCCCACACACACTGACAGTCTAAAAGTAGATGTGAGCAATGGGGCAGTGAGATTGACCAATAAAGCCCACGTACTGTATCTACCACACACGGCCAGGACAGCAGTGCTGCGCCGAGAGGTCCCTGTGAGGATTTGTTCTCCAGTAAGGTGGCAGATTGGTAGGTGATGGATGAGAGCAGGGAGTCAGGCCCTTCAAATGGCCCGTAAGCTGCTCGCATTGATTTTTGGTTCCTCGTGAACAGTCTCTGGGGAAAACACAGCTATCGCCTACAGCGCCTCCATGTACCTCCATCAAAAACTGCGCGCCCTCAAAAACACACTCGCCATGCTGCACATAGAGTGGGCTACAAGAGTGAGCTGACTGATATCGGCTGCTAGAGTAACAGTCGACCTCTTGTGCAGGAACACAAACACTAAAAAGAGTCCCTGGTTACTGAGAAGAAGAGCACTGCCTCAGGAGCCGAAGAAGACTGAAGTATGAAAGATTCAGGAGGATCTTTTACCCTCCTGTGTCGGATACCATGGATACATGGTGCCATATCCTGTCATATTCAATTAGAGTAAGAACTGAAACATGTTAATCTTCATACAGGTTGAACTATAGGACCTGTCAGTGCTAAAAAAATCACCATTTTCTCTAACCATCATCATTGAAAACATCCTGTTCTGAATCAAAAATATTCAAACATCTTCAGTATAGATTCAGTAAATGTTAGGCAGAGAAAATATGCATATTTCTGCAAGATTATGAGCTCAATTCCTCTAAGATTTGGTTGAAGTCGTACATCTCAGAAAATCAATTTGTGAACATTTGGTGACAGTCCTTCTGATGCAGCCTGACATATTGCCATTTGGAAAGTGCCAGTTAGTCCAGATGGAGATGCTACTCAGTGTGTCCAACCATGGTATGATTCACTCCAGAGCCACTCGCACACAGTTCACGGGAGGTTTTGGATGGACTGCTAGCGAGCATTTAGGAGAGACAGCCATCTTCCCGTCACTGCCAGCAGGCTACAAGAGGACCACTTCATGGGAAGTTTAGATAAGCAGCAATGGATATGTGCAGAAGTAAGAAGACAAAGTCGAGAGATGTACTTGTATGTTACTACACCATGATGTGTAAAAAAATATGTTTCAAGCAAAATAACGGACCTCACTTTTGTGATTCAGTCACTCAAATTATACCTCATCAAGGCTATGATCTTGCAGATTTGTCCAAACTAAAACTTAAAAAAACAGAGTTACAAAAAGAAGCATGATGTATGAAATAATCTCTTCAACAGTTATGAGGTTTTATAATAATACTCGGCTGGATTTCACCCTCTTTCATTACCAAATTTGACAACAAAAAAATCACTTCTGATTTTGTTCTTAAAAAAGCCACCATACAGCACGCCAAAGAGACAGGTGGCCGTCTCATTGTTTTTGGCTTTCTTGTTCTTTAGGCTCCAACAGAAGCGTTGAGCTCAGACTTTGCACCAAATGCTGGTCAGGATGTTTTGGTAGATAATTCTGCCTCATATCTGACAAATTTTCTGAAGGCAAACCATAGGTAAAAACTAAAAAAAAAAAAAGTTTGTAGTGGTATGAAGGGGTCTCTCAAGGGGTGTAAAGGTCCAAACTGTCTCTTCGTGTGATAATTTGAGTTGTAAGTCCACAGAATGTAGTTTCTGTAAAGCTGTGTGGATCTTTCAAAAACATTATGTTTTCATAAAAGGAGTTTGCAGTCCTACTATGTTTCAGCCTCTGTAATAATCATACATTTTCTTCCTTAAGCTGATAAACTGCGCTGCACTCTGTGATCGACTCGTCAGGGCTCCCCCACAAACAAGCGGCTGCTGGAAGAGAGTGGGTGAGTTGTGTTTGGTCTCGTTGCTAAAGAAATCAGGCAAAGCTAAAAAGATATTTGATGTACGTCTGGGACCCTATATGTACTGCTGATGAAGTTAGGTGCTGTTCTGAGCATTATTTGTGGCTATAGAGTGGCTTTTTGGTTGAGGTTTGCGTGTGGAGACATAGACCGCTGTGTATTGCTATCGTGCAGTCGTTACCAATTAACTTAAATTTACGTCGAAATATCCCTTTAAGGCCACCCCCCAGCACTCTGGAATCCTCTTTCACTGTTGTCAATCAACAGAGCCATACTTTTTTGTTGTTGTTTTATTATACAGACAAACAGTACTATGGTCATAAAGTTCTGGTTCCAAAATCTGACTTGGAAAGTTCAAGAAGGGACAAAAGTCCCCAGCAGTATTAAGCAGAACAGGCTGTTTCTGTGTGTTAAGTAGCTATGACATTTTTTTTGTTCTTTTAAGAAGATTCACCAATCAGGGATTTCGCAATTTAAGCAGAGCCTGTCCTTCTCGCATGATTTTTTTAAATTTGAAATTTTGCCCACATTTAGTACTGACACCCTATGGGGCCACATTACCTCATCCTTCAATAAGACACTGTAATGTTAAAAAGTATTTTGTGCAGGTATTTTGGCTGCACTTAAATTTAGGATGTACCTTATATTTTACATGAAAACTAAATCATTTGAAGAGCATCTTCCACACTGAATATTGTGTTTACAGTCAGCCACAATGAAGATGCAGAAGGTGGAGGTGTGAAGGTCAGGTTTGTAGATTTTATGAGCTCTCGATTTCACCATTAAACTAGAGTAACAGGGAACCAGGTGTATGACTCCTTCAGGGCGACTTTTAGACATTGGACACTGGACATTGTTAGGTCTACTTTGTGATAAATGTAAGTAAAACAGTCAATGTGTGGAGGGGTTAGAGAGGAGCAGGGAGAACTGGAGGCACAGGGCTGGAGGAGAAAAGGAGGGGTTCATACAGAGAGCAAGACAAACACTTAAGAAGCTAGTCCAAAAACGCTCAATCCTTTTTAAATCCCAACCTTTAATCAAGTGTTTTGATTTCCCCAGCTCTGTCGAGGTTCAAGTTGAGGGGGATATACTATTAATACAACTGTGATGGACTTTTATATAACAATATGTTGATCCTTTACAACCAAATTTGCAAATTAACAAATAAGAAAGAAATGCTCGTCTGATGGCTTTGGTGTTTTACTTTCCTTGAGATGGACACATTTTGGCAAGGTTTTTGTTGCTCACACAGTTAAAGAAATAAAAAATAAATAAATAAATAATAGCTATTACTCTGAAGTGTAATACAAAGCCAAGCAGAATTTATCCAGATTGCTGTTTTGTAGAAAGGTAAAGGAAGGACGAGCAGATGGAATACGAAATGTAAAAAAAAAAGTACTGAATTTAAAATGTGAAAACCAGAAGCAAGTGCATAAAGAGACTGTTTTAGAGAGGGATTTAAAGACAATAGAGGAACACTCGAGTTCCTCAGGCGCTATGCTCTGGTTTGGGAGCTCTGCTGGCATTCAATCACAAAGAATAAATTGAAGGAAAAAAAAAGTTGAAGCACTTGTGCCTTGGAGACTAAACTTCCCTGAGTAGCAGGAAGTGTCTCTCCGGAGGGGGCGTCTGCTTATATGTGATGAAAACGCCTGCATGGAACATATTACAGTCTAGACAATCTGGCTAACTCGGTCCCAAGGCGCCCCCCTCCGCAGACTAAATGTTTTATCACCAGCAGATGGCGGCTCCTCGGAGATGGTGCGACTTACACCGCGGCTAACCTGAGCTGGGTTAAGATGCAAAGACAATAGGATCCACCAGCTGGTTAACACACCGGAGACTCCAATAACAAAGTTTGTGTGCTCGCAGAGATTTCTAATTGATTTGTTTTTCCCCCGGCACACCAGCTGCTGGTGCCAGATTAGCTAAACTGAGTGTCAGCCTCCATCTGAGGAGGGCTCTCAGGATAACACAGTTAGCTGCTCTCTCAAAGCTACACAGGGGGAAACTGTAAGGTCACACATGAACATAACAGCATGCTGCCATGAGGAGGTCCTTGAGAAAGTGGGAGAGGGTCCAAAAACTACTGGGAAAGAGAGTTTTAATAGTTTGGGGAAACCGGAGAGTGGTGATGGTGTTTGTAGCAGGACGACAGTCGTTTAGGGGGTAAAGTGAGACGTTTGAGGATATCTTACAGGCTGAAAGGAGCACATGAATTATGAAGCTATGTAATGTGATTTTGTATTTAAATAGAAATTGGAGTAAAAGTTAATTGAATAAAGTTACAGCAGATTTTTTAGCAAAAGTTTGGAGCTTCCAGTGAGCTGCAGTCTCCAAACTCCATTTCTCCTCTCAGTAACTTTGCCAGTGTTAAGCAGCTTTTGTGAAATAGCTCTGCAGTCATCTCATTGAAGTTAAATTGAAGCTGCATTTCTTCATGCCGCACCATTGTTTGTCTGGACACAGGCTTATGACACTTTGAAGCATTAACCTTTTCTGTCTGGGGCCCCAAGCTTTGGAAAACGCTGCCTTAGCATCTCCGCCTGTTCAATCTTCCGAAAGCCATTTCCTTGTTTTATGAGCCACTCTTTCACTCTTACAAATACACCATAATACACCATGTTTCCACTTCTTGTTTGTCCTTTTTTCCTCCATATTTGTCTTGGTACCACATTATCTTGAAATACTCTAAAGTTTTGTTGCTTTGGCTCTTTGTGTGCCTCATAAGTCGTAATAAGTATTTTTCTCAGACCGCTATGATAAACTCTTAAGTTGTTTCACATGTTGAAACTATAATACTAACTGCCTTATGATTATTAGGATTGGATAATCCAACTAGGTTTGTTGAATCATGTCAAACTACCCCACCCTGATCAGTGCAGCAAGCTGATGACAACTAGCTACTACTAGTTGGTGGGTACTGAACATGCGCGAGTGACAGAGTTCAGTTTGGAGAGGCAGAATAATGTTTATATATATATATATATATATATATATATATATATATATATATATATATACATATATTTTATGGGACAATTCTAATATGGGAAAACGGCGGTTAAAATGGTAAAATACAGTAGTTTCCCAGCCAAAACAGGATACTTGACAGCTATGTGTAAAATTATTTTACACATGCTCTTATTTGAAAAAATGTAAAAAAAAAACAAACAAAAAAAAACACTTCACCTCTCATTGTCTCATCAAAAGTCTTCCAGACAGCTCAGTTGATAATTAGAAAACAATGTGAGAAAATGGAATTAAATCGTCATCTACTGTGCTGAGTGACGGCTACAAGTGAGGCATATATAGATGCAGTTTATCAGAGTGACGGTAGCAGGAAACTACATGGAAAGAAAAGTCCTGGAGTGTGAATCACCACAGACATTTAGCTCCAATTTCAGGGACATCCTTAGGGTAGCATGGTGTGAGCAGTGAAGACTGACTGTCACAGAAAGCAACCAAACTGGGACTCCTGAAAATCTGTTACTATAACCATGGATCTCTGGACATCAGTGAATGATCAAAAGTCTTTCTAAAAAACTGCTCACCATGTTGACACTGATTGAATGTTTTGTACATTCACTCCTGCATGTGTAATGGTGTTATTCTTTGAAAATATAAACACTATATATTTCACCAAATAAGCACCTTGAAGCTCTCTCCCACCTCTGAGTTATGGCCTCATACAACACTGGTGTAAAACTGCAGCATTTGCGTTATTCTCACTTTCTAGTTTTTAGTTATTTTTTTATGAATGACCTTTGACTGCTTTTTTTCTTACCTCTGTAATGATTCTTAAATATGTTTTTGATTCATTGCTGAAATGTGCTACTCAAATAAACTTTCAATTAAAGTTAAGATCTTTAGAGTACATTGCATCCGTTTGAATCTCAAAGTTTTGGACCCCCCCCAGGAAAAAAGGCTCTGTTTTTAAAAATAATTTTTTCCTGTTCTGTACTAAGGACTAATCTTTTTTCTGTTGTTAGAGTAATTTTTTGGCAAGATACTTAAAGATAACTTTGACTAAGGGGTCAATGAGAGTCAAGCATGGTGATGATGATCCCAGAGAATAGGAAAAACAATTAGTCTAAACAAACAACAACAAAAAAAATAGTCCGGAAAAACAGAGAAGAAAAAAATTACTCTCAAAACAAACAAACAAACAAACAAACAAACAAAAAATAGTCCAAAGAATAGGACCAAAAAAAAAAAAAAAAAGAAATTACTCTGAAAAACAGAGCTTTTTTTTTTTCTTTGGTGAATGCAGTACACTTCCGGACACACCAACTCACTTATCAGGATAGCTTTACACTGTAACTGCTAACTTCAAACAATAAGTTAAAAATGCAAAGTAAAGAAATTTTAACATTGAGAGCCTTTAAAGGACAGTACAGCTGCACAAGACTGGGAAAAACAAATAGTATGGGGATAAATATTCTGTTGCAGCAACAGCACTATAGAATTTAAGCTAATTTAAGGTGGTGTAGATTAGCCAAAACATTTAGCTTCTGTCTATCTCTTTGCAACATGTCACTCCTAAATTTACAATTCATAAATTTTACCTAGTAAGTCCATGAGTTGCCATGCAGCTCCAGTTTGAAGCATCTGATCACATCTCACTCTTTCGCAGCGGCAGCCTAACAGCCTGAACGATTCCTGCTTCAGCTCCAGTTGCTGCTCTGCAGTAACTACTCTTGACTACCCCTCTGACTGAACAGTTACTTCCTGTCCCCTTCAAAAGAAGGTGAACAAACAGCTAATATAATCCTGGACTTCCTCTCTTCCCCTCTGCGCCGTATTAAAACCCCATCAACACAACACGCAGCTTCCTTCCCTGATGTGCCCACCTTTTGCCCTCCACACTATACGCACTATAAATCAACACTGGCAACAAATAACATTACAATCATTCAGTAATGGATTGCACCTTTCACTGGGGGTATACGCGATCCATTAAAATTCAATTTAGCCCCCACACTTATTTCTCCAAACAAGTAAAAGTGCCAGTCATCATTTTGAGATGCAGGCAGAGACTCGGGCACTTCTGGGCTGGGGAGATTGATGAGAAGAGAGATTAACACTTCATTTTCAACGCCACTGGAGATAGCCGGACCATAATGAGATAAATGGACTGAAAACAGAGTTACAAGGAAAAGAGAAAGAGCAGAGAGTGTGCAGACAGAGAGAGAAAATATAAACATCCAGCTGAAGAGTGTGTGAGCAGCAGGCATGTCTGACAGGGTTTCAGGCCCGGGGCAGGAGGTGCTGGAAGAGGGCGGGTGGGGACGGATGAGGCAGAACATCTATTACAAGACAAGCAGGCCAGCCACTTTCAAGACCAGCACTCACTCCGGCAACCCTCTGACCGCCAGAACTCAAATCTGACAGGCTCTGCTCGCACATTTTGGAATTTCAGTCCTGACAAAATCTTTTCAAAGGCGATACAGCTGCAGGAACAACACATGAGACACCAGGAGAGAGTAAAGACCTTTAGTTACGTCTGAGAAACTACAACCCTAATACTAAAATGTTGGGACACGCTGTGAAATGTTTAGATTACACAAATTTGAAAACAATTTGAACCCCAAATATTTGAAACTGAACAGGTACAGGTACAATAAATGCTTCTGTGTTAAGTTGTTGTGCTGCACATCTTCACCAGTATCCACTGAAATACCGAGCGGACTGCTATGGAAGCCCCGACGAGCCAATGGCAAAACACTTTCTGAAAATCAATTTTATCTTTTGTGGTAATCACTTTACAATTGGAGTTCACTTCAATCTTTTTCATATACAGTCACGTTATTTTTGTTTTGTTTTGCTAATAATACTATTTGTGGCCACACAAGGTTGAAGTAAATCACTACACCTGGTTTGATAATCCAGGTGCACATAAGGGATGCATGATATTGATTTCAGTGAACAAATGTGAAATAAAAAGCTAGAATATTACACAGACTCTACAGTTTGTACGACATGTTCCAGGGACTTAAAAAAAAAAAAAGGACTGGCAACTAATTATATAAAGTCAATTTTTTATAGCCATTTAAGAAATGAACAAGAGCTACAAAGAAGTAACTCAAATAATAACTATTAAAGTTATGATGATAATATTGGCTTCCTTGATAATATAAT